AATGACATGGCAACGCTGGCGAATAACTGGAAGACACCTGGCGCAACAGTCTCGGAGCGTTACATTCTTCTTCTTTGATTCATTTTCCCACTGAGGACAATCTTGAATGTAGTGTCTGGGTTTCTTGCATTTGTGATAGAGTCTCTTCTTGTAATAATGGGATGAGGAATCTAATCTCAAGTCACCACTTCTTGAGGATTTTCCAAAGCAACCACGTCTTGAGAACTTTTGGAATTTCCTCACGAGCATTGCTAGCTCCTGGCTCAGTTCTTCAGGGTCACCAATGCTGCTACCAGAATCTTCACCTTCAGATTCAGACACTGTCTTGGCCTTCAGAGCCCGTGATCTGCCATAACTTGGTCCATAGAGATCTCTCTCCTCAGCAAGCTGGAACTCATGAGTGTTTAGTCTCTCGAGGATATCAGCGGGATCAAGTGACTTATAGTCTCCACGTTCTTGTATCATCAATGCAAGGTATCAAATGAGGAATCAAGCGACTCAGCAATTTCTTCACCACCTCATGATCAGTGATATCAGTGGCACCAAGTGCTTGAAGCTCATTTGAGATGCTAGTGAGGCGATCGAAGATTTGATGAACATTTTCATTGTCGAGTCTTTTGAAGTGGTTGAAGAGATTGCGAAGAACGTCAACTCGAGAGTCACGCTGTGTTGAGACTCCCTCATTGACCTTGGATAGCCTATCCCAGATAAGCTTTGTTGTCTCCAAAGCACTCACTCTGCCCTACTGCCCTTTGCTCAGATGGCCACACATGATGTTCTTCGCTTGAGAGTCGAGTTGCTTGAATCTCTTCACATCAGCAGCGTTGATGGTAGGAGTGATAGAGGGGATGCCATTTTCCACAACGTACCAGAGATCATTATCAATTGCCTCAAGATGCATGTGCATCTTGTTCTTCCAGTAGGGATAGTCCGTCCCATCGAAGGTAAGACACCCAGTAGAGACCTTGATCATACCTGCGGTCGACATAACTAAAACTCCAGGTGGTTAAACCAAAATCACACAAAACAAGGGAGTACCTTGCTCTGATACCAATTGAAAGTGCGTTATATCGATTAGAGGGGGTGAATAGGCGATTTTTATGAATTTTGCACTGAGGAATTTGTGGGTGAGGAAATTCCTGAGTGAAGAACTACTTGCAGCGGGATAAGTACTCAGAAGTAAACATAACAGAACATGAGCATGGTCTTCATGATGAAATGAAAACAAGCACAGAGTACAGAAAGCGTAAACACAGGATAAACAGAGTGAAGACAAACAGACTGAAAAAATTGAGCCGAGGAAATAGAGAAAGTCTTCAGTCAAAGTCTTCAAACAGATATGAACAAGCACACAACACAGAGATGAGGAAATATAAGGGTTGAGGAATTGGAACTAGTTAGCTCGGTGAAGACAATGATTTGGTAGACCAGTTCCAACTGTTGTGGCGGTTGTACGTCTGGTTAGTGCGGCTAGGTATTTAAACCTGAGGACACATAGTCCCAGAAACCCAGTCATGAACACGCAGCTCAGGACACTTAGTCCTCACCGTATTCCCCTTGAGCTAAGGTCACACAGACCTCACCCAATCACTCGTGGTAAGTCTTCAGGTGACTTCCAAACCTTCACAGACTCGATCGGTCACTCGGCGATCCATAATTTTCTCTTGGATCCTCTAGACCATGACGCCTAACGGTCTGGAAGATGCACAGTCCTCAAAGGTAACAAGTGTCGGATCCACGCAGGATTAATCTCTTCAATGATACTCAATCACTTTGGGTTTGTAGGTGTTTGGGTTTGGGTTTTCCTCACTTGATGATTTTCACTCAAAGTCCTCGGAGGATGGGATGCTCTCAAATGAGAAGTGTCGGTTTCTCTTGGAGCAGCCAACCAGCTAGTGGTTGTAGGGGGCGGCTATTTATAGCCTAGGGAGCAGCCCGACATGATAAGACATAAATGCCCTTCAATGATATGATCGTTAGGTGGGTAGATATTTTGGGACAGCTGGCGCATAGCACATCAATGGTCGGAATTTTGAGTATCAAATTCCTCAGGGCTATCATGTTCCTCACTGTGTAGTCAATCCGCACTAGCGAATTCCTAACTCCTTAGTCAGAACAAATTCCTCAGAGACCAGAAGAACTTCGTCTCTGTCACTAAAAAAATTTGACTGAACTGTATGAGATTTCCAATGGCTTCACTCGAAGGGATTGGTAGATGTAGGATTTGAGTTGAGCATCACTTGGAAGTTTTTCCTTAGTATTTCCTCGACCCCCTTTAACAGTACGGTATTTCCTATAACTCAAGAAAGAGAAAATGAAACTACAAAAACAAAAGTCTTCACGCTTCATGTTCCTCGAATGAATACTAAGTCTTCAGGATCACACCAATTTCTTTCATTTTCAAAGTCTTCAGAAATCCAAAGTCTTTAGTCAAAGAACTTCATTTTTAGGGGTCGACTTTCTCTGTAAATATCAAACTCCTCATAGTCTTATAGACCTGTGTACACTCACAAACGCATCAGTCCCTTAACATATAAGTCTTCAATACACTAAAATCACTAAGGGGCACTAGATACACTTACAACCACTCTGTTTCGTCTAGACGTTTTTCTTTGTCATATTGTACTAGGTTTTGGTACTCGACAAAGGGTTTGTCCAGTGCGCGACAAAAAGAATTCGGCAAAAAGTTCTTTGCCTGAAGGGTGTACACCTAGTGCGCTTTGTTGATTGTAACACGCATCAAAGTCTTTGTCGAGTGTACCTGGCACTCGACAAGTAACGAGTTTCCAGTAGTGTCGGTCTTGTCAATGGGACGGGCTCGATGACGAGGAGCAACTGTGTGGAGTTGGTTGATGGTTGGGGATGGTAGGCCGAGACAAAGCATAAATTTTTCAAAGAAACATACCCATCATCTAGTTCATCAATCAACCCACCAACTCGGTATTAAAAAAAATTGTCGTATTCAATTGATATATACATTTGAAAATAGAGACAACCCTCTCTCACATAATATAGGGTTCATGCTTCATGGTATCATAAAACCAACTCAACCTAGCTAGTATTGCATCTACAATGTTTTTTCAGTTTCTCACCGAATGAGTGAGAGAGCCAAACAAACCATGACAAGGGGATGACGAGAGGGAAAAGATGATTTACAATCAAGACCTTGTTTTAATAGTAAAGATGACCAATGGTAGGAGTAGGGCAGTCTTGGATCGTGTGCCTCACAAGAGAAACAATCGTCGCATCCATCTTGCTCCCCCTCCTCTCTTCCCTCCAGCGGTTACGCCGTCGGCTATAGGAGCGGGACACGTCCTCTTCGTTCCTTTTTAGCATGTTTTTTTCATTTCTCTGTCCCCAGTGGCGGCGGTGAGGACGCATCGAAATAAGGTCACTTCGGCCTATTCCTACCTCAATGGCATCCAATTGGGCGTCAACAAAGAGCATGTCGGGGTACGTGTAGTCATATTCGGTTTTGAGTTGCTGGGTCTATCAAGCGAATACTTGGTTGGTTATTGGCACGATGACCTCGACCTCTTCATTTGTTCTATTCTGCGGCAAGCTTCATTTTCCGCAACCCTATGGATTGGTGGTGGAGAATTGCAACTCTGCACTGCACGGAGTGTTGGCCCAATCGATGTTTCTTCAGCAGCTACTAGATCTTGTTGTTGGCGGCGAGTGACTATTGCAGACTTCAAAGTTTTGTATGGTGATGGAGTTTGCCAGGTGTGCCTATCCAATGTATTCTTTAAGCTCCGATGGACAACGAGAAGTGAAGGAAAAATACGATCACTGTGATATTTTTATGGACAACGAGAAGCGAGGGAAAAAGATGACCATTATGATCTTTTTGATGTAATTGAATAGTTGGTTGTGCGTTGCAATGCGGTATAAATATTCTAGTATGTTAGTTCATGATTTACCTGCCCATATTAATGTGATTCTGTAAATAAATGTTATCAAATCTTGCCTATGATTTACCTACCTAAATAAACAGTAGGATTTTATTTGATGGTCAATTGTTTGGTAGAAGCTATTGGCTTATGAAAGACATAGATTTATTTGACAAGTTAATAAAAGGCATGACAACTAAGGCAAATTTCAAGAAAAATCGATGCAAATATGGGAGACAGGAGATAAAATATCAAAATGAAGAGATGAACATGAGAATGTACATAAGGATAGACAAAGGATGAGTTGAACGACATAGCCTTACATTCTTTTTAAGTAGGAAAGATTTACTCCCTTCGTTCCTAAATATAAGTCTTATTAGAGATTTCAATACATATGAATGTATATAGACACGTTAGAGTGTAGATTCACTCATTTTGCTCCGAATGTGGTTCATATTGGAATGTCTAAAAAGACTCATATTTGCACTCCATCCGTTTCTAAATAAGACCTTTTAAAGATTTCAATACAAACTACATGCGGTTGTATATAGAAGTATTTTAGAGTGTAAATTCACTCATTTTGCTACGTACGTAATCTATATTGAAATTTCTAAAAGGGCTTATATTTAGAAACAGTTAATTGTCTACCATGCCTTTTGGTCTCTTTTCTATATAAAAATATGCAAATAAATGAAACAACCCCAATACAATATCCTCTATGCAGTCCAGACCAAATAATAAGCAATACTACTCTCCGTTTTTAAATATAAGTCTTTTTAAAAATTCCAAAATAAATAAGGTACAAAGCAAAACGAGTGGAATATGTCTACATACATTCCTATGTAGTTGGTATTGAAATTTCTAAAAACACTTTGGGGGGAGGGAGTACGGTAATACAGTACAGTAGTACAGTATTAATTATGATACGGAGGGTGTGCATGAAAATACCGTCATTACTGCGGCCAGCAGCTTCCTCCCGACTTCACTCCCCCCTCCCCATCCTGTCCTCGTAGTCTCCGCCGGACGCCGACGCCGACGCCCGCCCCCTACCTGCGGCGAGACCCCAGGCGCGGCGGCGGCGGCGGCGGCGGGACCTGCTCAGATCCGATGGGGGCGACGGAGCCGCAGTGGGTGCTGATGGCCACGGGGCGGTCGCCGACCAACATCGCGGTGATCAAGTACTGGGGGAAGCGGGACGAGGCGCTCATCCTCCCCGTCAACGACAGCATCAGCGTCACCCTCGACCCCGACCACCTCTCCGCCACCACCACCGTCGCTGCCAGCCCCGCATTCCCATCCGACCGCATGTGGCTCAACGGCAAGGTGAGCTCCCCCTCCCCCACTGCCTGGACTTTTTTTTTTCCTTTTCGCCCCACGCTCGCTTGCCCCCCATTGCCGCCGCCGCCGCCGCTACGGCTGTCTAGATGTTTTGTTCTAGGGTGGATGCGGTCGACTCCTCGGCTGAGTGTCCCTGTGGTGATCCGCCAGATTTCAAGCTTGAAAGAATTTCTGTCTCGTGTTTCTGGCATTACACGATGGTTTGGGCAGTGTGAGTGTTCGTCTAGTCAAATTGGCTGCCCCTTCTTAGATCTGGACCGGGACCTGTTTCAAAGCTCGCTGCATTTGCAAAGGCAGTTAGCGGAGCTCTGAAAATTTGTCTTGTAAAGAAAAGCCAAAAGGCACATTTCTGTTTCTGTTGTCTGCACTAGCGTCAGTACTATATTGATGCCCAGCTCATGCTTTGGACATTGACTCTAGGTAAGTGGCCAGTGCAAGGTGATTCTATAGCGATGCTTTAGCCGGAATAACGGAATTGCTGTCTGATCAGATGGTAGTGTGATTCTGATTCAGTCATCCTTTTGATTTGGAATTGGGCAGGAGATCTCATTGTCGGGCGGGAGATTCCAGAGCTGCCTGAGGGAGATACGGAAGCGGGCTCGTGATGTCGACAACGAGAAAAAGGGGATCAAGATCAAGAAAGAGGACTGGGAAAAGTTGCATGTCCACATAGCGTCCTACAACAACTTCCCAACCGCTGCCGGTTTGGCCTCTTCGGCTGCTGGCCTTGCTTGTCTTGGTAATTCTCCTAGTTCAGATGCCACTGTTATAAGTCAGGAAAACATATGTATAACCAAAATTGTGAATATTTCGTGTCAGGCTTTGATTTCCTTTTGTTTTCTGCTGTTCTACACGCACCCGAGTTGTGTTTAGTAGCAGAGGGGTTTCTTTCTTATTCTCTTGCCAACATTAATCTTGATGTGGGTAGATGCATTTCTAGATAGAAGTGGACGGTGCTCCTATCGAGAGGTTTCTACCTTCCAGATACACCTTTGTGAGCTATTCATAATATTAGGGAAACATTATGGTTATCCAACTGCCTAATACTGCCCTGAATCCTGCTGCTAAGGCTGTCCTATTTATCTGCAATTTGTTCTTTATTTGGTTGTATAGAGGCACCAAAACATAATAAGTAGAAAATATGTTTCTTGGTTCTGGTCTGCTGGTTAATCTTAGAAATGGCTGGTCCTAACAAAGTTCCATGATATACTGCTAATATCTGGTCCCGGGTCTTGTTTTGTCCTAATTGACTAACACTTCTCTGCATGCTTGTTTTGTACAAATATCGATTACTTTATTTTGTGTCTTGAAGTTTGATAGTGCTATCCAACACAAAATGACTATTTTGATCATAAACATGCTAAGCGCGGTCTTGCTTTCATGCCAATAGCACAGCACATAATTACTCATTTGAATACTGTTTGCAGTTTTCACCCTGGGGAAGCTAATGAACGTGAATGAAGATTACGGAGAACTTTCTTCAATAGCAAGGTATGTATGGAAACATTATGTAGCAACACCCTGTTTGTGCTCTATCCTGTTTGCGATGTTTGCTTGATGGTATAGCGCAACAATGGAGTACTTCATTTTGTTAAATGATAAGCTAGCAGCTTGATCTTTTTTTGGGGAAATCTAGTTGATTCCTCCTTATGGGTGTTGAGCTACTTTGTAAACCAGGCACCCCCTGTCTTCTACCTTTTTTTATACTTTATACCGAACTTTAAGCTTTGAATGGAAAAGCTAGGCCAAGGCCTTTCATCTAAAAAAATGATAAGCTGGTGGATTTATGTCTTCGCTTTCCTTATATGCTTCTCTTGGCTAACAAATTTCAGTGCAGGCAGGGGTCTGGAAGTGCATGCCGCAGTATATATGGTGGATTTGTGAAATGGTGTATGGGAAAAGTAAGTTATCTCTTGGTTATGGCAGAGAAATTGTATTTGTTAAAATACATGCTTTTCTCTTGGAAAACGATTGAGTTTGACTTTATACTTGCAGAATGACGACGGAAGTGACAGCATGGCAGTACAGCTTGTTAACGAGTCACACTGGGATGATCTTGTTATAATCATAGCAGTGGTATGTCAATGTGATCTCTGTTATATAACATGATCTGTTTCATATATTTATCATTGGAAATTGCTCATTGAGTCATGGTTTCATTTACACCAAATCTCAACTAGCTAGTGACACCATTTTACCATTTTTGTCCCAACTTATTTTCCTATTATGTTGCTTTGTGGAATTAGGTCAGTTCAAAGCAGAAGGAAACCAGTAGCACCGGTGGGATGCGAGACACTGTTGAAACAAGCCCCCTCTTGCAGTACAGGGCCCAGGTGAATGCATTTTCATCTTTAACTTGAAATGTTTTGAACGGTTCACATGATGTACAATTATTCTTATAAGAATCGTCATGAAGCTGCAATATGAAATCTGAACTGTAATTTTATCCCTCCTGTTCTGTGGACCGTCAGGTTTTGTGGTTTTGAAAAAAAACCGAAGTGTTTTGGAAATTATACTGATCAATCTCTTTAGCTGCACTTCACTGTTTCTTGCACTGACTGTGCACTGCACTGTTTCTTGTATTCCAGACTGTAGTGCCAAGTCGGATATTGAAAATGGAAGATGCTATCAAGAATCGTGATTTTGAATCCTTCGCCAGGTTAACTTGTGCCGATAGTAACCAGTTTCATGCTGTATGTTTGGACACGAGTCCTCCCATCTTCTACATGAACGACACATCACACAGGTAGTTTTTATCGCAGTCCTGATTTTGAGGATCTGTTCCTACTGAAATTCCAGAGTTAAGAATTGCTCTCTCAACCAACTGCAGGATAATTAGCCTTGTGGAAAAGTGGAATCACTCGGAAGGAACACCACAGGTATATTCTGTTCCTGTTTAACACGTGCTACCTTTTCAATTCTCTGAACTGTGTCTGCTGCCTAGGGATCTTAAATATAGTTCTGGTATCCATCAAGGCGGGCTAAACTTAATTATGACATGGCAGTACAAGGAGTTTTTACTGCACTGGACCAAACATGTATCAGTAGCATCACTTGTTGGAGTAATTTATCCTAATTTAAAAGGTGTGAACCTTGGTAAAATCATTGCATGTTTCTGAAAAATAGCGAAAATATGAGTCATGCTTATGCTTTGAAGTTTGAACCCTTGATTTTGATGGAACATATTTTTTAGAGTCCTTCCTGAGTACATGAACTATTACTAGTAGTAATAGTAATAGTTCTGGAGCTGCAGACTTAAAATACTTCTATAGTTCTATAGGTGTTGTATCTATCAAATAGCATCGAAAGTTTGAATTATGAAAAGAATTCATAAGAAATATCTTATTGTATTTCCTTCATCAAACGATAAAACTTCATTGCAATCTTGGCAGTATTATTTGTCTTTGTCTGGCATGCATTTCACCTAAACTGCAAATCATTGGTACTGGATGGTGTGATTGATCTGATACCGAAATTTGATTTCTTGTAATTGCAGGTTGCCTACACATTTGATGCTGGGCCTAACGCTGTCCTAATAGCACGGAACCGCAAAACTGCCACCCTTCTCCTTCAGAGGCTCTTATACACTTTCCCCCCACAGGAGAATGACTTGGACAGGTGTGTCTGGTATTATCAAGATTAAAACCTAGTATTTATTTGTTTCTAGGTATACTACAAACATGTGCACCTCTGACAAACATGATCATGGCAGCTATATGCTCGGCGATAAATCGATCCTAAGCGATGCTGGTTTGCAATCCATAGCCGATGTCGAGGCCCTTCCAGCGCCTCCGGAAATGAAAGCTCCAAACCAAAAATTCAAAGGTGATGTTAGCTACTTCATCTGTAGCAGGCCTGGGGCCGGCCCAAAAGTTCTCACCGATGAGGGCCATGCCTTGATTGATTCAGCCACGGGGCTTGCGAAAGGAGTGTAATTCTGGACGATGATAGGTTTCCGTAACAGTCTTTGGTTGAGATTAATGTAGAATTGTCACGTTGTTGTACACTCAGTACTTTCGTCATTTTGATCTTGTACTGTACCTTCGATCTTGTACTATTTCCATCATTTTGTCCCTGACTGTTGTAGCCTCTTAAAGAACATGTATATTTCTTCAATAAAAGTTTGTGGAATGAATTATCATTTTATCGATCTCATTTTCTGTATAGTCCAATGCATGGATGGAATCGTTCTTGTTACTTTGGCATCCAAAAATAATAATAGCACATAAGAGCATGAGGACTTCAACAAATTGTTACTTCTGGTGTTCTTTATACTAGATGATCGAAAATTTTAACACAGAAAGTATCTAAAATACATTTTTCCTTTTCCAGTGTAAGTATTTGATTGCAACACCTTGTGAGGAATTTTTTTTAAATATGAACGGAAATGATATCTAGCGAACGTTCGTTGGGAGCCAATCTTAGCGAACGCCTTCCCTGACGTTGCATGGATCTTGGTGCAAGGCCGACGCCACGTAGATAAGCTAGAGTCATTCATTGTAACCCGTTTCCAGGCAAACACCCTCTTTCTATCTATCTAAAAAATGCACGAACCAATGTGGGTGAGGAGGGTTCAAAGCGGGGGTTTGTGAAATCTTGAGTTCAAGATGCTATATGTATCCTTGAAGCTATTTTGTGTTTTGATTCAATTTCTCATTTGAAAATTTGACCAAATAAAATCCAGAAAACCTGTTTTTTCATTTCATCTATTTGAAAGGTCAAAGTCCTATTTTTTTGGCCATGTCCCGTTTTTTTACAAGTCCATGGCAATATTTTTGGGATTGTTTTCCACTTTATCACGTGGCAGTTTATTATTTAAAATATGGCATTTTTAGTATTAATAACTTGCCATTTTTATTATCAAGATGATGTAAATTTTATTATTAAGTGGATTTAATTTTTATTGTTGAGAGGATGAGATATTTATTATTGAGAGGATGGCATTTTTATTAGCAAGACAATGATATTTTTATAATTAATGGCATGGATTTTTTTTCTTTTATTGGCCAAGGCAATCCCTGTGTGTGATTTTTTATTTTATTTTTAAAACGAAACAATAGAATCTAACTTGGGGCTTATCCATATAAAATATTTCTTATTTAGAGGATGAAAGTTTTCTAAAGTTTAGCATGGCACTTTTATTTTGTAGATCACCCGGCCTTTTTCTTATCATACTCATTGTAGATTTATAAATGAGAGAAATGACAGTAATATAGTAGCATTTAAATCCATGTATGCTTTATGAGGTGCGTTTAGAGAAGATAATGTTGGATTGTTTATTAGTAGTAGAGAAAATATTTCTTATTTAGAGGATGGCAGTTTTTAAAGTTTAGCATGGCAGTTTTATTTTGTAGATCACACGACATTTTTCTTATCATACTCATTGTAGATTTATAAATGAGAGAAATGACAGTAATAAAGAAGCACGACTGTTTTTCTTTCATAATTAAGATAATGGCAATTAGGGTTATCTTTTGATGATGACATTTTTTCACAAAAATACTTCCTCATCCCTACTCCCATGTTCTAAAATAAGCTTTGTAAAGCTAGTACAAAGTTCAGTCACTTATTTTGAGATGGAGGGAGTACATTATTCAATGGAGGGAGTAGTAAGCTGGGCCTCTGGGTCAACCAGCGGTCGGGCCAGAGCATTCTGGCGCAGTGAGCGTCAAGTAGGATTCCATTTCGGCCCACGGACTCCTCCCCTCCCCGTCGTCCGGGTCTCCTCGTCTTCTCCACAGCCCACCCCGCAGTCTCGCTCTCAAAATTTCGCGACTCTCTCTCGCGTCTCTCCATCGCCATGGAGATGGAGGCGATGGGGAAGCAGCAGAGGGAGGAGGCGCTCCTCGGGGCCGCCGCCGCCGGCAACCTCCGCCTCCTCAAGAGTAACCCCGCCTCCTCCTCCTCCTCATGCTCTTTCTCCTTAGGGTTTGATGATGGTAGTAGCTTGGCGGGTTAGTGCCTTGACTTGGCTCCCAATTCTCGCGTCGCGCAGAGATGGCGAGGTGGATGGGCTCCGGCGGGCAAGGCGAGGCCGCCGTCCTGGCGGCGGTGGAGGACGGCCAAGGGGACCGCGCGCTGCACCTGGCGGCCGCGGCGGGGCGGCTCGAGGTCTGCAGGTACCTCGTCCAGGACCTCCGCCTCGATGTCAATCAGCTCAACCTCATAGGTGGCGTTCCCTTCCCTGCTCCCCTCCGCGTCACTTGGCAGCTCTGTCAACTTCTATTTATGTACTACCTCCGTAAACTAATATAAGAGCGTTTAGATTACTACTTTAGTAATCTAAACGCTCTTATATTAGTTTACAGAGGGAGTATTTATTGATGCTGATTCTGCTCACTGTCAGTTACTACCACGCTGTATGGTGGAATTCGCATTTCAGGCTTCAGATTTTGTGTTACATGCTGTATGGTGTATGCATTTGTAAATTGTCAACTTCTAGTTGTGTATTAGTATGCTGATTCTGCTTACTAGTTAGTTACTACTTACTACCATGTGAAATCCTTATTTTAGGCTTCAAATTTGGTGTTACATGTTGTATGGTGTATATATGCATTTGTAAATTGTGATTAAGTGACAAGTGGATCGATTTCAAATATCCCCATGTCCAATATATGCACACAGACATACCGCGAACATCGCCGGTTTTCTTTGGATATGTTGTACGGGCAAACCGCTACTTGTGGACTGTATATGAAGTGTCTCCTCTGTCTATCGTTGTGCAATTTTGTCGACAGTAAACATGTGTCAGATGGATAGGCATTTGATACTGCACTAGCTAAGTTCTCTTTTCACGTTTGGCTCTCTTGTGTACAACTTTTTGTATTGAGGGCAGGATTGGCGTGAATTTGTTTTTCGACTGTTGCAGGTGACACGCCACTGTACCTTTCTGCCTCATATGGAAGAGCTGATGCTGCAAGATATCTTCTTGATCATGGTGCTGATCCACTAGCTGGCAAAGTACACTCACCTCTCCATGGCGCTGCAAAGGAAGGTCTCTCTCTTTCCCAACAAGTATGCTTATTTATCACGTGTCAGTGCATACATAGTCAATTTGATTTTTTGCCTTAGAAAGCCACATCGCTGGATATAAGCAGCATTAGACTCCGACCAACATGGCCCCGCAGCTGTGGGTTAGCAGGCATAGGGATCCTAACCGGTGGTAGGAGGCACCGCATCAGCCTTAGAGATAACTGGATAAACCGTTTTCGTAATGGTTTTGCTAATTCTCGGTCAGTGAAAATTAGTCTCAGGATTCTTTTTTTTTTGTTTTATATGGCTGGTTATAAAATAAACTTTCAATTTTGCATTGTTATATGAAGTAAGCATTTCTGGGTCGACTGATCCAAATTGGATTAATTTGTTAACATTTGTCTGGTAGCCTCTCTCTGTTTGGTTTTGCCCCATATTGTTGTGAGAGAAGTAAGCATTTCTGGGCGACTGATCCAAATTGGATCCATTCCTTCAAACTAGTTATTGGTTTTCGTTTGATAAGATTAGTCTTAATTTTGTTAACATTTGTTTGGTAGGTTCTCTCTCTTTGAATAAAGTAAGTAAGAAACACACATCACAGCGTACAGAGCTACAGCCTTCACACTCTTGTGATCGTTATAGTTGACTACTATGACACCTCTCTTGGCTTGTGTGATGCTTGATGTTTATATTTTAGCATATACTTGCCATTTTTTTATGTGATTTCCATCGAACAAAGCTCCCATATACTTGCCATATTTTTTATTTGGATGATAGCCGAAGAAACATTAACGAGTGTGTGGAGAGAATAACTTTGAGGTTGGATATCTAATGTTATCTAAGGTTTTGATTATAATCTTATAAGCTCAAAATTGACGACTTCTTCTACTTCCAAGGATAGACAAGGAAAATTTGAATAGTCCCAATCCGTCCACTTTTGAAAACCTGGTCCTTGATGAGATAAGTGGTAACCAAAATGGTTACTGGGCAGTTCATGATCACAAAACTGAAAACTGGCCCAGAGTTAATTTTTAGTGCAAAATGAAAACTGAAAGCTGGTATCCGATGTTGGGAAATATTCTTGTCTCATTCATTCTTTTTTGAAACCTCGTTTTCCAGGACATTGTGAAATAGTAGAACTGCTGCTTTCAAGAGGAATCAATGTGGATTTAGATTCTGCGCAAGGGACGCCATTGCATGCAGCTGCTATTTCTAAACACCATGACATAATTAAGATCTTGTTGGAGCACCATGCCGATGTAAGACACCAGTTTCTTTGTTCTCTTCTTTGCGGTGAAAAAGAGAACTCTGGAACGGAATATCTTGTGGCCAGTGGTACTCGTGCTTCATCTGTATATTCTATTTGGGAATGCACTGGAATGGAAGATCTTGTTGCCTTTGATCTTGTGCTCCATCTGAACAAAAGATCTGCACTGTACTCTCCCTCTGTAAACTAATATAGGACCGTTTTAGTGATCTAAACGGTCCTATATTAGTTTAAGAGGGAGTATTTGAAACAACAAAAATTCATCATGGACAGTATTTAATTATCCTAAAGTAAAACGTGCTCATGTTATGTCTAATTTCTATGTAATATATTTCTTTCTGTTCCCTTCAGAAATACCAATATATTTAACACACCATGAGTATACTTTACTTCTCTATTGATGTATCTCAAAATTAATTTCTCTACTGGTCGCTCTTTTCTTTCCGACTAGTGTAAGTGATTGATTCTTCCACTTTTCGTAGCCTAACAAGGTTTACGGTCTTGGTTATGCCCCATTGAGTTGGGCCATCCGTGCCATCAGGCCCATGCCTAGAGAGCCGTTGGAATGTGTCAAGCTGCTTGTTAAGGTCAGTACTCTTTCTTTGTATGGAGCTTTGTTAAAGTTTTGTAGGCACAACTTCATTTTCTTTGTGTATATAACATATAAAGCATTAACCCAAACAAATGATCAAATAGTTATTCATTTGCACAGGCTGGTGCTGATCTGAATTTTATTGACTTCGATGGTGGTAGTTACGTGATGTTGGCAGTGAAGTTTGACTCACCTGGCATCATGAAGTTCTTACTAGATGCTGGTGCTAACCCCAATATTCCCGATGAAGTGAGCTTTACTTGTTTTGCTGTTTTCACTTGTCATCATCTACTTTTCATGCATATGCTGTAAGTTAGCTGACATTATCGTTCCATTTTTTCTCTATGAGGTTATGTTAGGCTGTAGACTCTTGACACTTGACAGATTAGGATAATCATCTTACCCACACATCGTCTGACACCAGGAATAGGCTTGCATGAGGGGAAAACACTACTTCCTTGGGCTACAAAAAGATGGCATACACATTTTCGAGATTTAACTTTGATCATCAATTAGAGAAATAATACACAAGTCATGTAACTTAAAGATTGTACCATAGGAAAATTCTTTATATAGTACGAATTTAATGGTATAATTTTTGTGACACATAACCCACATTTTATTGGTTAAGGTCAAGGCTTAAGACATTTGTGACGACTATATATGCAGTATGCAATGCAGCAAGCAGAAGAGAAGATGCTGCTTCTGTGCATAACCGAAATCCATTTTTCAGCTGCACAGAAGAAAAATACACGATTCAAACCTATGTGGGATTATAAAATGGAATGGTTAGGTTGTATTTATACATCTGACATTCACCCCGGTCAATTCTTGATGACACATGGTCAGGGGAATTCAGTAACCTTATTTCACTTCTTATTCTGTGAGGATACCTTCTTGCGCCTTGGATTAAGTATTATAGGTACTGTAAGTACTAAATACATAAGTAAAAGGATGTAAAAATAGAGAACTTATGGTAGATCAAAGTTGCCAATTATTATACCATAGGCGAACTTATGCCAATATTCCTCAATCTCTTCAATCATCTCACATTCTCACTTACTCATGCTTGATATCTCACCTCCATGTAAAGAGGACCTCCAAAACGCCATCTAAATAATTTCACTCTCAGATCAGCATAATAGATTATGTTATTTCCCTACTTGAGCTTTTGGTCACAATCTCGCTCTGACAAGGGCAGCGGTGGTGTAGAGAGGGAAGGAGGGAGACAAAGAGCTGTGTGTTTATAGTAGCAGAGATGATGTCGAAACATTGTAAAATTTGAATCTTCTGTGTTGTAAATTGCAGAGTATGTCATTTATATGTTTCTTGTCTACTGAATTAGGAATTGAAAAAAAAATATCCAGTTTCTTCATAGCCTGGTCAAATAAACATAAAATGTTTCTTCTGCAAAGATTTATTTTGCCCCTTCCATGTATATTTTGGTGTTTGTATCATCTTCATCCTATTCTGTTTTGAAAAGTCTATGCAATACAACATATTAGTTGAAGCTCTCGGTTATTAGTGTTAGTGTACTTGACGTAACCCTTGTCTTACAAATTTTGTTCGGAAGGATGAACGAGACTGTTCTATCATTTGTCCTTCGTAGTGATTCTCTTGAAGTCCAACCAGCCATTTCATTGAGATCTTAGGCTGTGATTCCTAAATATTAATTTGGAAATCTTTCAATTACATTTTGTATTTATATTTGTTATTTATTATTTACTCTTGCAGTGTGGTAGGACACCAATTGAAGTTGCTGCCTCTAAAGGCAGTAGGGACATGGTTGAAATGCTATTCCCTTTAACTTCTCCTATTTCAACGCTGCCGGACTGGAGTATTGATGGAATCATTTCTCATGTGAAACACTTTGGTTTGAAGCCGAGGGTATGTGTTTCATTCTGTGCTCACTTGCAGTTCCATATGTTATTTATCATCACCCTGTAGTTATGTTCTTTGGCAGTTCTGTCCATTAGAGTACAAATAGTTTTAATTCACGATTGTTGTAAATTCCATTGTGCAAACAAAAAATTCCATGCACAAATTTTACTTTTCGTGCATTGCATCACTATTAGCAAACTTCTAGTCTTTGGGTATGACCTTATGGTGAACTATTAATGTGCTAGACTTAATAAAGTTATCCTGGATGATATTGTGCCAGCCCTGCAACTACGGACAATGTAGTTTTTATTACGAATTTATAGTCTTATACATTAATTAGGATACGTCCTGATCTCCGGATAAACCCTGCAACACTGCAGTACAACCATAGTTAGTTTTAAATAGCGGGCTATGACTCTTAGCAGAGGACATCTCTAAACTCTATAGCGTGCTATTTAAAACTTTACTTCATGTGTTAGGACCAAAGTCTCTAAGCGCAGGATCTCTCTAAACGCTATAGCGGCGTTATAGCGTTTTCCTAGTCTTATACATTAATTAAGTGATATAAGCTGAGACTTACAAATTTGTACATTTTTCATGTTTACATTACAGGATATTTCTACATATTTATCCTAACAGCAATTTTTCTGTGATCAGGATAAAGAAATGTACGCAAAGAGAAGAACTGAAGTTAAACGGAAAGCTTCTGAGGCTTTTAAAAGAGGGGACTATTATATGGCATCAGAGATGTATAGCTCTGTAAGTCACTAGGGCCCATTTTTATTGCCTGAAGGAGTGATGGTTATTTTTTATATCTGTAAACTAGGGCATCACACAGTACTGTTATACAGAAGTTCCTATATTGGAATGTATCTGCTTGTCCAATACATTTGCTGGTTTCATGTGTACAGAGATCTCTATATCGATCAGAATAATACCATCTGAGCACCATCCCCATTGATATATTTATAATCTTGTATTCCCTCCGAAAAAACTTGTCATCGAAATGGACAAAAAAGGATGTATCTAGAACTAAAATACATTTAGATACATCCCTTTTTATTCATTTTGATGACAAGTGTTTTCGGACGGAGGGAGTAGTACTCTTTTTTTAGGCATTGCTAAAAGCTGCATGTGATTAATGTGTTTGTAGACAAGGGCATTTGACCCTAGTCCGGATGAGTATGCAACCATATTGGCAAATATTAGTCTATGCGCGTTGCGTGCTGGAAATGGAAAAGCTGCTCTGTCTTATGCTACCATGTGCAGAATGGGGCGACCTCTTTGGCCAAAAGCCTGCTACCGAGAAGGGGCAGCTCTTATGTTATTGAAGGTAAAAAGAACACAGTAGTTTTCTTCAAGCATCTGTGATCATGATCGTATAACTGATCATCTTATGGTGTGTACTTGTAGAAGTACGAGAGAGCATGTGAGGCTTTTGCGGATGGCTTGAAGCTTGACCCTACAAGTGGTGATATTGCAAATGCTTTAAGGTAACTGGTCCATGTTTTCGTGGTGTGTAGGGTGACGTGCAATCCCCTGCTTCGTAAGTTAAGTAAAAGAACAAATGATATCTTGATAGACAATTGTGTGCATGGAAGATGGTCTACATCTCTAGAAAAATATTACATGGATTCAGTCCGTCAAGTCTGTTAAGTTTGTTTTTTCTTGAGCTGGAGCGATTTACTAATCACGGAAAGAACACTTAGTGTTGATCTGCTTATTATCATGATACATCTTCAGGGCAAGTTGTACACAGATTCCTGACAATTCTCATGTTCAAAATATTTTGGTCGCAGGGAAGCCCAAGAAGCAGCGAAGAATGCTCGTCGCCGTGAAAAGTGACCGACTGACAAGTCTTACATGCAGAATCCGATGCTTTGTTTTGTTGCTGAGCACCTTTTGTCTAGTCTGAAAACTTGTGATGATAATATACTGTTATTGTTAATTAAGACCTCCGTCACACCCATCGTTTTTAAATATGACTGGGGATGAACTCGCTAGCTTGATTCCAGTTCAAGTGTCGACAAGCTTTATCGTCACAGAACGTTAAGCTTGTTATATCTTATGGTTGAAATCATGGAATTCAGTACTGAGGTTCCTTTTTGCATTGTGACTGGCAGCCATTTCGAAGTTGGCACTAACCAGAAAGGTTTGGAACTTGGTGTATTGGGCAAAAGATCCAGGGAAACGTTTATTGTTCAGTAAATGTAGGGTAATGTTCTGTGTCGTGCCCTCAAAGTAGTACTACTATCCTGATGCTTCAACCTGTTATTATTGCTGGTGCTTTAATTTGTTTGTACTGTAACATCTTGTAGCTTCACTAGTCCAATCAGCTACTGGAAATATCCATGTTCATACATGGCAGATTTCCCCACTTTGACAATGAAATCATTTTGATATGAATACGGTCATATAGAGACAAAGAAACACCATGCCAGGAACAGCATGCCAAACTTTTAGCCACAAATACTCCCTCCGTTTCAAATTACTCGTCGCAGAAATGGATGTATCTAGATGTATTTTAGTTCTAGATACATCCATTTTTGTGACGAGTAATTTGGAATAGAGGGAGTAACAAACAAGAGTCCTACTAGATTCTTGCCAAATCGAAATGTGCATGAGAAAACTCTTTGTTTTAAAAGGTTGTCTAAAGGTCGGTGAATTGGGCAAAATATCTAGGAAACTGTTTACTGTCTATCTATTCTGCCTCGTGACCAGGACCGTGTTGAAGAAAAATAGTGCAAAAAATGATGTAGTCATGTTGTTTGGTTGCTTGCATGGTAGTTGGCGTGGTTTCGCAGTGTGCAGGCACGTTTGGTAGTAGCGGCTTCCCGCATGCGATGAGAGGAGTATGAAGCCTCACACAGAAAATAAGAGAATTTTTCTTACCTCGTGGTTTGCTTGAGTCTGCATGAGTAGAGACTGCTAATTCGGTCGTTTCTCCACGGTCTAGTACCGGAGTGCTTTAAACACTGTGTGATGCAAGGAATTGATGTGAGTCAAGTAACCAAATACCGTGCGAAGTAAAAGATTACATCCATGTGCAGTCTATCAACCATCATGTAGGCAACCAAACACGCTCTAATAGTAGTACCTTGACGACGCAAGCCAACCAACGCGCATGTCGCCAAAGACAACTGCCAATGGTTTTGTACAAGATGGATTAACAATCCGAATATCCATTTTTGAGCCAAGGCTCATCTGCACCCGGTCAAGAGAAAAAACAGAAATACAAAAAAAATTCAAAAAAAGTGCATGGTATATAATTTAGTGCATGAAGTGCGCTCTAATTTTCTGACCATTTGAACATACGAGTAGCTCT